AAATGCTTGGTGATTCGCAATAACCGCGGGTACGGTTTGACGAAATCTACGCGGAAAGTCGGGGTGGTAATAGCGATAGCGACGAAGAAGAGAGACGCTAAGTGCTGACCAATCACCTAGCCGTTGAAACTTGTTCTTGTTGGCGCTTGCGACTCAAATAGACACCTCTTCAGCATCCATTCAGGAGGCCCTGTTGTCTTCGCGGCAGGCATCATGGAGCGATAAAGAATCTGGCGACGTGAACACCATTGGCATTGGAGCTGAGCGCTGAGGCCTGAGGGTCCAGAGCAAGACCGAATAGTTGGTGGGGAATTGATCCAGCTGCCGTGGCGGCCGACCACAGGACCTTCGCATTTTAAGGACCACCAACTACGTCAAACATCTCATCAGGAAAATGCGTCGAAGTGAAGAAAAATATCCATATTTACAATCTCTTTGTAGTTGACATGCAGTTCGGAAGGGAAAACCTCAAAGGGCGGAGCCAGGCGCGATCGTTGGTGGATTTGGGGTCCAGATTGGGACTTCGTATTCGTTCCGCCCTGTCTTGCCGGCCACCACGATGAACTCCAAGGCTGCTGCTTGTGGTTCTCTTCTTTTACCCTTCACACCCACAGTCCTGCAAACCATAGTGGAACGAAAGCAAGTTGCAGCTCTGGTTCACTCAATTATTTGACCCTGGTCCAAGGTTCTGAAGCCCTCATTCGTCCGTCCGCTTTCCCCATCGCGTTCGCACAAGACTAGACCTCAAAACCATTGCCGTGCAAGATGAATGCCCGGAAGTTCCCTACTGATGATATGGCGGGTCGAAAATCAAAACTTTGGGTTTTCATGCGCAACCGAGTTGCGAGAGTTTTGGAAAAGGCATCAAAGAGGTTAATCTGAACAACGCTCCAAGATCTCTCCGGGCCCATACGATGCACGAGGGCTGAGCATTGGTTAACTCAGAGCACCAAGGATTGTCGAACGCTTCTCGGACGTCCTCAACATGGGCAGGTTTTAGTCCCGAAATTCTGCGCGAACATCAAAACTGACGGCGTCTAGAATATTCTGAACGCCGATGAAGACTTGAAGGCTATAGCAGATCTTTTCATGCCTCCGAAAAGACTGTTGGAAGCAACGATTCGAAGCTGCGTCGTGTATCATGCGAGATCTGGAGCACGTTGGGTGTTGACCTTCCTGCATATAAAGAGGAATGCCAGACGAAGGCCTCTTTCTGGACGTCATTCTTATATGTGCAGGGCCACGCGTTGACTCACCGTGCGGCGGTGTGGCATCCCGACGCGGCGGGACCGAGTCTATGCCCATATATGGAAGTGGGCGGGATCGTAGAGCCTCTGGCTCAAGAGGCGGCCTCTAGATTGCTTCAGCGGCTGACAGGTAATGCATCTCGAAAGCCGAATTGCTTCCCCTCTTTGCTGACTCCTTTGCCTCCAGCTACTGTCTGTACTGCCAGTGTTTGAACCGCTTCAAACCCACATGCGTCGGTAGTCTGCCCGAGTCACCGAGCGCCACCCGTTGGAATGACTCGAACAAAGTGAGATGAACCCTAGATTCTCCCAGGCTACTGTCAAGCTGGGATGGAACGGATGATTCTCCAGCCTTGAAGAACCTCAAAGCCGTGTACCGAGCAGCCCAACAATGCCCAAGAGGCACTCCGGTCCTCGTATGCTCCGTGACTGGCAGTGAAATTGGTCTAAACCTGCGGCGTTCCAAGGTCCAGACAGATAGGATGGCTTCTCGTGCAGGGCGATGGACGTAGGAAAAAGTGTGGTGCTGCACGGGATATCCTGACAGATGATCGTGCTGACTTCCACCCCTTCTCCGCCAACGTGTTGGTTGTAGGGTGAATGCTCCATCCGCATACACTATCTCCTCCTGGAGTTCTTCGAGCTTATGGAAAGGAAAAGAGGATAGATGGACTCCTCAAAAGGAGACGGGGCGATACGTGTGGATCATAGAGAAGGTCATAAGTACGTGAAGACATTCTTTCTTAGGTCCGTTCTGTTCAGACTGACTTTCTCAATATTTTCAGCACCGAAACGAACAATCCCGCGACAACATGCCAATATGATCGCCTATCTTCTAGCCCCAGCCCCAACCCTGCACAACCCTTTTCTCCAACAAACTTGGACCTTAACTTTTGAGGACCAAGGCAACCTGCTACTCAAGAATCACGGGCGAACTTACCAGCTTCCGACCCCATTACTTCTCCTCAACGACGCTTCACATTACGCCCTTCGACACGAACACTCCTCAACTTCCTGTTGATATGCTCCCTCCATCCTACGCGGAAGCTACCTGGCAGAGCTGTCCTGGAAAACGCGACTCACTCCGTCTGCCTCCCTACCGTTACTACCGCTCCGCAAGGTACCATCCGTATCCTCGCTTCAAACGAGATGCAGTCAGGTTGGAGACTAAGGAAGGTGAAGACCTACTTGTGAGCTGTCCGCGCGTCATCAATGTTTGTCATCGAACGATTTTCTTGGTAGAACACTATCTTTGACAACAGCAGAGTGGCATTAAATGTCCCTCCTGCACTCGCTGGAACTCGCCGCCCTGCTATGCCCTTGGTGAGTTTCCTTACCCTCAGCTGACCCACCCTCCTGCTAACCATCCTCTTAGGATATCCAGGCGCTGATGAACGAGGAGATTGAACTTGCTTTGGCCTTTGACAGGCGTGGCCATCGTTTGTCGCGCAAAATGTGATGATTGTACGCGGCGCTTTTACTTATCCGTTTCACGTGCTGATCATCCTCCGTAGGACTTCATTGGTGTCAGACAGGCTATACGCCGATGAAGGCAAATATCCAGGCCTTCAAATGTTCCTTGCTTCAAGAACGTCCAAGCTTCATGAATGACATAAAATTTCGAGTTTCGTTGTACATTATTCAGTCTAGCCCTTTGCCCTTACTCTAGCGTCGGTCGGAGTCCAACAGTTCAGTAGCAAACCTTCAAGTGGGTCCAATTTATGCTGACGAAGAAGAATCTGTCACCAAATGCCAGGCGGTTGCTGGGATGTCGAGGACGTGCGTTTGCGGTGGATTAAATACTCGTCGTGAATTACATACTCGTCCGACGTTAAATGCGATGGCGAATGGAAGGAACATCATGATTTAATTTCATGCCGAAGGTCATACATAAAAATCGATATATGTATCACTTAGAGGTCAACTTCGTCAACGGCGCCATTCACTGGACAGGACGAGTGCCCTTCATAGGGGTATAATCTGGGAGCGCCTCTTAGTTCAAGTCCAAGTCCAAGCCAGCCGTCATAAGTATCGAGAACCCGGAGAAACGATACCTTTTACAGTACTCGAAAATCATGAGACGAAGTGGGCGCGCGGTCGCAATTCCACGAAATAATTGAGTCGCAAAACTCGAAGCATTGAAGGATTCCTCCCTTCGCTTGTACCAGACCTATGCAAAATGGTTAGGTGGTTGACATGTCACATGAATTGACGCAAAAGGTGTTTTTCTTTGCTCCTGGCCGATAAATGTCGCATTTACCGGTAAAACGAAGATATTTTGTGGTGATAAGCCGTTGTCGGATACTGGCAACGGTCGATGCCGTCAGAAAAGAGCTGGAGTAACCTGCCCCGCGTTCCGCGTCCCGAACAGCTTGAGATATGCCGTAAGGGTGATTGCCTGGTCGAAGCATCAAGTATTCAGGAGAGGCAACCCAAGCGCCGTCTTAAGTCTATCGCAAGCTTGAATTCAGGCCATTGTCGGGCCATCGTTGTCGTGTTGTTCATCGGAGCGAGTATCTGCGAATCATGCAAATGAGGTGGCCTGCCATTCATTCGAGCGAGCTCGAGGCACGACTGAATCCTGTTTGGACAGTCACAATCAGGTGGATAGGAAGAAAACAAAACTTTGTATATCTGTCTCTTTGCTGAGTCCAACAGCACGTAATACAAGCGTTTCATAACAAGTGACGGCGTCAAAGAGGCGAGAGGATTCACACAACAGGATGAGTAGGAGGATCTGCGGTCCTTCAGGCCGCGTGGGTCGTAATGCATTTGCGGTCCTTCAGAGCGATATCTAGAGCTGGGTCTGCCAGGTGCGTCGATAGTTTTGTGCGTTGATGACCGTCGGAAGTGACTCGATTTCTTCCTTGATCTTGCTTGTTCTCGATTCTATGATTTCAGCCCCAGAAATTTGAGATTTGGGTGAACAAAAGCTGGTCGTTCATCGAACTTTTAGGAGCTTAGAAAAATGGAGGACGGTTGGACGTTGCTGAGGGAGAAAATCCATTGAAAGTCGGTCTTCGGGGTCAAGGGATTGATGAATATAATTGCAGATGTGACTCCGACAGAGTCTGGGAGGAAAATATCGTGCTGACAGTGACACGTTAACTAACCGTGGCTTGGTGGCACACAATTCCCTGGCTGCAGATATTTATTTTTAAGCTGCAGGATCCGTAAGGTCTCCAGGTCGGGAATACGCACCTTCAAGTTGTCGTCGCGGTGGATTTTGATGATAGAGCTCGCCTAAATCGAGAATCTTCAACGCGGGACTATTTAGGCCCATAAATCGCTGTCACGGTTATGCGAATAATTCACCTTTCGAGACGACCCTCAGACTGGTCAACTCAACATGTCAAGACCGGCCGCCTTCCTGCATTTGACCGACGTCTATATGTTGTCAGAAGGTTGAAAACCTGAAGACGCAACCAACAATCGAGGTTCTCGATTTTCGATGGCCACTGCAAGATGCCACAGCCTGAAGAGACGTCTTTGTCTCCCTTCTTGCTTCAAAATTCTTCAATGTCTCCATCAAGACTTCACAAGAACGAAAAATCCGACGGTGAAAATCTAGGGCATGATACCCAGATAGTTCGGGTTCAGTTTTTCAAGAAACAAATACGCGCAAGAACATCGTTAGGGCGGCAACCAAGTTCTTGAGCAGCCATCTCACAAGCCGGCATTCCAGAAGACAGGCGTTTGCGACAGATACGTTGGCAACAAACTCAAGGACCTCGAGCCAACATTTTTCGATGATTTTGCAGTTTTACAGCCTTGAAGATGTATTCAGGTGACGGAGAGGGTCCATGCAGAGAAGGTTCACACAGGAGGCAGTCAGCTCAGAGATAGGTGGGTTCTCGTCTTGAAAAAAAATCTGTTCTTCCTGGAGGTCTTTCAATGGGCAGTTCACTCGTTGAACGCCGTTCCTTGGGGCTCGAGTTGTGTTGAGGATTTTGGGGATGGTCCTTGAGGTCTTGAGGCAGTCCAACAGACATGCAGAGCAGGAATAACCTCTCGCATACGACAGGCATTTACAAAATGGAGGGAGACATTTACATGGATTTTACCTGGTGTTGGTGGAAGGAAGAACCAAAGGCTAACGTTCGTTTTCTTCTTTGGTTTTAGGTCCGAGCGGTGTAGAGTGACTCACTCGGCGCGTGACTCACTCGACGCGTGACTCCCGACGCGTGACTCGATGCGTCGGCCCCGACACTGTTACCCATATATGGAAAGCTCCCGCCGCCTTGCACAATCCGCCCGGACAGGCGAGGCCATTAGAGCTAGAAGGCTGACCAGGCACATCAAACGTCCCAGATGAGCAAGAACATGGCGTTCTACGTCCTGGAATGAAGCACAAGCCTCCAACGATATCAAGAGACCAGTTACCTTAGGCCAGCGACAGATAACGACAGAGCGGACCAGGAAGCGCTCGATGATACCCAGATGGAAGCCCCCCGTCAGCAGGTGCCCTCCCAGAAGCCTGGAACGACGCCAAGAAAGCGTTTCTGTTTCAACGAGGCCCGGGGATTCTGCAAGACGTTCCACGACTCAGCCGGCCATCCCAGAGTGCCTGCCAATACTACAAGCGAGTCGTGTGTCGTAGAAGCTATGCTAGTCGGGGGAGAAGGAGCCATGCAAGCAGCTGTCTCCAGTGCATGGAGGGACCGGGGCGATTGGTAGCAGGCGCCCCGTCGCGGATGGTGGGTGGCGAAGCTGAATACGATACCGGACGCGTTGAGTGGTGAGTGTCAAAGCCTTATTCCCCATTCTCGTAACCTTCTGACCGCTTGGTTCCTTCACAGCTTCTTTGCGTCAACTGCCATCCGCGCCAGAATGTGGGATATGCGCCGAATTCCCATAGGCTTACGCCTCGTTCAGATCTGACTCCAGAATGCGCCATGAACCAAATCAATACACACACAAGAACGGGAAGGGCATGATCAAATCAGGACACGGAGACCACGACTGGGCAGTTGGTCATATGTTTCAGGTTAGCTCTGGTCATTTTTCATGTTCTTTTATGACTTCGCCAACTCAAACTCTTTTTTCTCTATCTCAGCCGGTTGTTCAACGCAGAGGAGAGAAGTGTCACAAGCACATCACGAGAGTCGCGACCCGCGCAAACCTAGTTTTTTTTTTCTTTTCAGGGCTTCGCGAGAGACCCTGACTCTGGACACCTTAAATATGGAAGGGACGCGACAGCACTTTTTCCAAACCCAGCGGCACCTCTTCCTTCCCCACAACCACCTCTAACAACCGCCCTCTGCTTTCTTGCTCAACTATGGACGCCTCCGCTGCCAGCAGCAACACCGAAGCCAAAGCCAACATTAACACCGTTGTGACCACTACCCTACGACCAACCGCAGCAGTTCCAGTTGAACAGCCACCTCCCTCGTACTGGCAGGTCGTCGCCCAGACTCAGAACCATGCCGGGCCTATACCCAGTTATCGACAGAGTCGCCGCCTCCGCTTCCATCCCTACGTTCGGTATGTCGCTGAAGAGGTGGACGAGACGGAAAGGCTGCTGGTACGTGTCAGCCTTGGCATCGACTCCGCATCCACCTTGAACGTCCTTTTTGTTCCAACGATAGAACACCATTTACGACGAAGAGCGAGTCGTGCTCGACGTTCCGTCTGCCAGGCCTGGCGCGGAACGACGTGTTTTCCCTCTTGTACGTCCCGTCGTCTCCTTGCTGTGTTCAGCCTGACATCTCGTTGAAGGTGGCTCATCCGCCCATGGACGATGAGACTAGGAGGCAGCTCGAGCGCGCCATAGCATTTGAGCGACGTGTGCACCGTCTTCAGCCGGTGTTATTCGTGAGTAGCCGCCGTTGTTTTCTGCATTCGTTGTTGACAAAGCAATGCCGCGGTTTTCTAGGAATTCTTCGACGGTTTGGAACGTGCCCGTCGCGCCTAAAGCCGCTCGCCGACGATGATCCCTTTGGTTATTTACCACTAGCCCCGCCTCGCTGCTCGCGGTCGACATAGCACAGACCATTCTATGTCGCCTCGACTACGCAGGCCCTTCCACCGACCGGCACCAAGCAGAATCACACACTGTACTATAGTCGCAGGATGAAGACAGCTGCTGTCTCCCTCTCGCATATACCAGACTCGTCTTGACTCCATCATCATTGTGTATAGGTCTCGAGTATCGCCCGTCCGTCACCCGTTCTTCGTCTTCATTGTACATACTTACATACCTGGCCCGTCGCTCGAAGAAAGCGGGCCTTTTTTTTGGACCATTTCCTTGTCTATAGTTGCTTCATTTGCCTCGCTATTTACTGGAGCAAGGAAAGGAGGGCTCAAGGGTGGAAAGGAGCTCTGCAGATGGACATACTATTGTTTTCTGGGTTTCCTATGTCTTGATGCTATGCGTTGTTTTCATGTACTGTACGTAACCGGTTACTCGGTCACACCAACAACTCGGTCATCGCCTTTGTGGACAGCACAGTTGCTCGTTTCACTCAATTCTTTTTGCATAATCAGGTACAATTGTACAAGAGCAACGGAATTCCATTTTTTCATGAATAGATAATCTTTCCTCGTGGAGAAATGAGCCTCTCTTTGGCTGTTGTGATGCGTGACACCCAATTTCCTTATTTGAAAACCTGTTTCTGGTGGTTCCGGAGGGCTTTTCTCAACGACATGACTGGCTGCTGGAAAAATACTTTGGAACTAAGGAGTAGATCATAATTAATGTATAATCAAGTTATTTTATCTCGTGTGGACGGATTCCTGCACTTTCAATATTGAAAATTAGAAGGAAGATCATTTTAGAGGTGGGTTGGACTGTTCCGGGTGATTTATATTGTGACGAAGCCTCTAGGGGATGAATTGAGGCATCAAAAGAATAGTGCCTCAGATACGTGCTTAGGAAAGAAGTCTCTTTAATTTTTGCAAATTTCTTTCGAGCATGAGACACAAAGTAAAGAGAAAACCTCGTTTTGAGTGATAAGAAATGTCAAATCAAATACTTCAAGGGAAGTTGCAAGGTATCATGAAATAAGGGGACCAGATAATGATAGAGGTGTTTGACTTTTATTGGAAGCTTTTTTTCCCGTAGGTCAGACCAACTTTGAAGAACAATTCAAGGTGGCCGAGTACTGTCCTCGTATTCCGACACTATCTTATCATCAGCTTACTAAGCACGGTTGACCCTGGTTACAGCCGGTGTACGGGACCAATACAAATCGGTCTAGTCTCGGGGCCTGGCCGACTTCCTGGTTTTGACCGATTTTGACCTATCAGAATAAAATATTCATGGAGGCCTCAAACCTTCCCGTAAATTTCTGATAACTGGTGCACAGGTACTTCAGATGCTTGCCTATTGATTAGTACTGCTATTTTATTCGAAACCCCCAAACCCAGCGAGCAATTTTTAGGTGACTATAGAGTGACCGAGATGCCGGTCATCTACAGTACTGATTTCAGAATGCTTCAGGTTTGAGATGTGATGTTTCAACTTCGAATTTGAGACTTGTTTGAGACTTGAATTTGACAAGGATGCACATGTCTTCATGTCCTACCCATGGAATTAGCTGTCAAATTTTGTGAAGTAGATTTTTATTCCAGGATACAAGAGGTGTCATGAAAGCACGAAGAATACAAAAAGGGAGAAACATCACAATGAGGCTGCTTCGCCACCCAGCTCTGGGACAGGCCGAGGAGGTGACGGTTGAGCGTCATTCAGAGACTCCAGCGCCTGTTCGATGGTCTGAGAGGGATCAGGCCCTAACAAGAGAGGCAGAACAAGTGCTACGAAAACAAAAAGAAGCCTATACTAACACCGATTTTCCCTTCCACGCGGAAGGCCGCGCTCGCGTTTCCGCCTGTTCCTCTGGCGAGGGGGCTATTGCGGGCCAGGGAACCCATTCGGGAACAGCGTCCTCTTCCCCGTTATGATATTGAAAACGAAGGTGGCAAAAAATGTTGGGGAGGAGCTTGTACGGTGGAAAACGAGGAGGGATGAGATGAAATCGAGGTGTTGATGGGGCGTTGCTGAGAGACAATGCATGCCGAAATTGTGATGGCTTCGAAGCTAGAGCAGGAGCAAAAGAAGGCGGGCCGGTGTTGGTGAGCGAGGAGGGGGCTGCTGGACGAGCTTGAGGGTCGTGATAGCTTGCTTGCGAGGATGGATTACCGCGAGGCACCAGAGAAAGACTGAAGGACAGAAAGGACCATGATGATCATGATGATTAACGTGTTTTTGCAGCACCATACCCATTTGACATTATATGAGGTGGCAGGTGGAGGAAATTTTTGATTTCGTGGAGACGGCCTTGCAAATTAACATGTCATCTGGTGTTATTCTCGACGACATTATTCACTGCACGGGAATAGAATGCCTTCATGCGAGGAGAATATGAGAATGCCAAGTCAACTGTCGCCTACAGGGAGCCCGGAGAGACGACTCTCTGCAGAGCTCGAACATGTCGAAACTGGCCATTCTGGAGTGCACGGTTGTAATTCCATGATATACACGAGTCTCGAGATTCAAAGCATTGAAGAATTCCTACCTTCGCTTGCACTAGGCTTCTGCAAAATGGTTGGGTAATAGGCGTGAATCCAAGTAGCTGATAGATGTCACATTAGCCGGCAAAACAACGGCCTCTTGCGGTGATAAGTCGTTATCGGATACTGGAAACAGTCGGTAGGTACCGTCGAAAACTGGGGTAACACGTCCCGAACAGCGGCTAACTGGCTTGAGATACGTCGTAAGTGTGATCGCCTGCCCAAAGCACGGATCGCATTCAGAAGAGGCAATCCGAGCACTATCTGAAGTCTATCGCAAGCTGTCTATTTGAGTTCTGAATGCAGGCCATTTCTGGGGCCGTCGTGGTGGTGCTAACCAGCGTTTCCTGCAGTCGATGCGGCTTGCGATTCATTCAAATGAGCTCCAAGCCGCGGCGGAATCCTGTTTCGGGATTATACGATCATAGTCAGGTGGACAGAAGTGAAGAAAGACCAATTCATCTATCTTTCTGCTTCCCCAAAGCACAGAATACGAGCATCTCAGAACAAGCGATGGCGTGAAGGCGCCGAGAGGACTCAGACAGGAGAAGAACTATGGATAAGTGGGCCCGTCATCTCCCAAACTGGCCACTTGGGTCGTGGTGCATAGCCAGGAAACTTGTGGTCTTTCAGAGTGGTAGCTAGAGCTGGTGCTCCTCGGTGCGTCAATAGTTTTGGGGTTGATGTCCGTTGGAATAACTCGATGTGTCGCTTGATCTTGCTTGTTCTAGACGCCGTGATTGCAGCCATAGAAAATTGAGATTTGCATGGGCAAAAGCTGGTCGTTCATCGGGGTTTTAGGCCTTGCAAGATGAAGGACGGTTGGACATTGCTGAGAGAGAAAATGGATTGAAAATGGGTCATCGGGGTCCCGCGTTTGATGAATATAATTGCAGATGTGACGGAGTCTGGAAGGAAAATATCGTGCCGACAGTGACACAGTAACCGACCATGGCACCCCAGCCCACACTTCCCTGGCTCCAAATATTCGAATTTCAACCGCAGGATGCGCGAAGCTCTTTGGGTTGGAAAAGCGCTTTCCTCGCGTTGGATTTCTTGAAGGACTTGATGATAAATTCCGTCAAGATCCAGAATCTTCAAGGCCGGACCATTCAGACCCGTAAAATTCCTAATTTCCTGTCACATAATTCAACAGGACTTTCGAGACGACCCTCAGACCAGTCAGCATCAACCAACTCGATGCAGCTCAACATACATACGTCAAGACCGTTGCGCTTTCCCAACCTCTATGCGTTGTCAGAATGTTGAAGACCTCAAGATATCAGTTTCGGAAATTTCTGTGGCCACTGCAAGATGCCACAGCTTGAAGAAACGTCTTTCTGTCGCCTTGCTTCAAAACTCTTCAATATCTTCATCAAGACCTCACAAGGCCAACAAAGGCGACGGTGGAAATCTTGGGCACGGTCTTCAAGTCCTTCTGGTTCGGTTTTCCAAGAAACATACCCAATTTCACGCACAGGAAAATTGATAGAGCGGCAACCAAGTTCTCGAGCAGTCGCCTCACAGATCGACGTCCCAGAAAAAAAGTCTGCGACAAACACGTTGGCAACAAGCTCAAGGACCTCGAGCCAATAGTTCTTGAGACTTCTGAAGCCTTTTCACCGTTGAAGTTCTTCCGACGGCGGAGAGGGTCCGTACAGAGAGAGGGTTCACACAGAGGGTAGCCAGCTCAGAGACAGGTGAGTTCTCGTCTTGAAATTTCTTCCCTTCTTCCTGGAGGTCTTTCAACGGGCAGTTCGCTTGTTGAATGTCATTTCTTGAGGCTCGCACTGTGTTGAGATGATCTTGGGGTCTTCAGGCAGTCCAACAGACATGCAGAGCAGGAATAACCTCTCGCATACAATGGGCATTTACACAAGGGGGGAACACATTTACAAGGTCTTGGCGGAAGGAAAGAACAAAGGGCTAACGTTCGTTTTCTCTGTCGCTTTACAGCTGGCGAAGAGTGACTCACTCGGCGCGTGACTTCCCGACGCGTCGGCCCCGATTGTTGCCCATATATGGAAAGCTCCCGCCGCCTCCTACACACTGCCCGCAGGCACCGCGGGTTGTGGAGTTCATCCGAACTAGAAGGCTGACCAGTAACCTCGAACGTCCAAGGCGAGCAAAACCATGGAATTTTACGTCCAGGAAGGAAGCACAGGCGGCCGACCGTATCAAGAGACCCACCACTTTTAGCTGGCCAGCAACAGATAACGGCGGAGCGGAACAGGAAGAGTTCGGTAATACCCAGATGGAAGCCCCCGCCCGCAGCTAGCAGGCGGCCTCCCAGAAGTCTGGAGCGGCGGCAGGAAAGCTTTTCTGTTCCAACGAGGCCTGGAGATTCACCAACACAAGTTCGTCGTATGTGGAAGAAGCTACGTTGGCTGACGGGGATCGAGC